GAGGACCAGGGAGGATGABTMARCCACTCAACCACTAGATGTCGCTGAAAACAACAAATCCTACACACTGTGCCTTTAACAACTTTTGATTGAATATTAATTAAAAGGTAATGTGTTTTTATGAGCTTTATACTTGATCTGTAATATACCATAATTAGCCAAATCATAATGTTTTAATAATTTCAACTGATGAAATATATTTGTTGAGTGACCACAGCACTTTCTACTGATAGCTCTTTTTTTGTAAAATAAAAATGAGTTTGTTATTGTGCTGCTGTTTCACTGTTAGGATGATATTTTCAGACTTTTCATTATGGTCAAACAGTTCAGTCTCAGTTTCCTCAGACCACAGGACATGTCTCCAACAGGTCTTTGTCTCTGTGTGCATTTACAAACTGTGATCTGGCTTCTTGCTGACTCAGCGTTCTTTCAGCTCATGTTGGTCCAGGACTTGTTTCTCTTTGGATCATGACTCTTTCTGACCAGCTTCACACTGAAACACATTCATCCAGTGAGCTCAGGACATTCTCCTGGTCTTTATACTGTTTGAACTTTCAGGCATTTGGAAATTACACCCAATGATGAACCAGTGTTTTGGTGGTCTGATGTCTTTAGAGTTCCCATGAATGTTGTCAACAAACAAATCAAAAGCATTTAAAACCACAACATCATCATCTGAGGTGTCCCAAACTGTTAAAAGACATAATATTCCTACCGTAGATGAAGTGTCTCACATCAGATTCTTGGAATTATATGAATGTATATTTTGAAAGAACACATTGCAAAAAAAAAGGCACTCTACTGAGATGAACAGTTGAGATATTCTCATGTTCAGTAACAGGAAGTGATGTCAACGGGGAATGTCTGCATGTAAACAGAGCTGCTACAATAACTAACAACAGACTGTAGAGAAGAATCTGATGTTTCTTTAGATGATTTTGAGTCGCAATCAAAGAGATGAAGAAGTGTCAGTTATATAAGAGTGTTTCAATAAACAAAGACCAGGAAGTTCCTTTACTTTAGGAGCTCCCCTTTGATGTCACGTCCTATGTCACTTTGTCTGAGCCAAGTTCAAAAGAAAGAATGCTAATTATGCACAAAGCTGGGTAAAATCATGTGTTTTATGCCTAATGTCCTAAATATAAAAGTGTTTTCTTTGATCTTTTTGTATTTGAAGGATATGTACGTTACATGGACTTTAAAGGAAGTCTTATAGTTAAATAAATTACAAAATAAAAACAGTTTTATGAATTCTAACTGACACTGACCTGAAACAAGAAAGGTTTTGTCTGTTCCAGTGTCAGACGATGAGACAAAATGGTTCTGAACTTTTTAAGCAGCTCAACGCACTACTTCCCACAGTGGATCAGTGGTTACTCCTGTTGCCTCACAGCAAGACGGTCTTCAGTGTGGACCTGTGTGCAGTTAACATGTTCTTCTCATGTTGGTGTAAGKTTTCTGCAGGTTCTCTGAATCAATCACGTTAGTCTTTTCAGACCAAGGCAGAAAAAAAACCCAGATCTTTGACATCAGGAGGATTAGTCTGGTTAAATAAATAAAAAATAAGCTTCAGTTTATGTAAACATCTGTTGTACATGCAGCGCTGAGGTTTTCGTTCTGTGTCCAACTCAATAAATCAACATTCTGCAAAGTTTAAAACACGTGTCAGAGAGTCAGACGGAGAGAGGTGTACATGTTGGCACAGGGAGCGTCACAGAGGACTGAGCTGTGTTTTTACCACAGAGTTACAGCAGGAACACTGATGGGAGCACAACACAACACAGAGACAACACAGACACACAACATCTAGATCTGTTGCTGTGGCAAACCTTTAGGAAAACTTAGGGACACTGGAAAGAATGTGCAGAAAGCTGAACATGGCATAAAGGGAGAGATATTGATCATTTCTGAAAGGAGCATATTCCCTCCTCACACACACACACACACACACACACACACACACACACACACAC